CACTTTTCTTTTTTTAAAAATCAGTTAATGTTAAAAAAAAACAATTCTTGTCAGAAGAACTGGTTATTTAACGCCGTGTGCTCCTCTTATTGAGAAAGATGGCGAAGAGGGTTAACAATATACCAGTAGCAAGCAATCAAAGGTTTAACAATGTCCAATGAAAACTTAAGTCTAAGTTTGGAAGGGGGATTCCTAGGATTGTGTCAACTTGTCATGCGCAATGAACAACGTTGTCTCCATTTTTAGCCTGCGGGCTTTTTCAGATTTGCTTTGTCCAACAAAGACCAAACAACAAACAAGACAGTAGTTATCGAGGTTGTCCAGCCTCATTGCTTGGGTTCGAACTCGGGACTTTTCGGCACTGTAGCTATGAGTAATCGACTCGACCACGCCGACCTCCTCTTGTATTATATAAATAGCTTCTAGCTTTCATTCTGTCATCATTGACTAGATATCTGTCAACATCTTTCACTCAATTTGTATTATTGCTACCAGGTTTTTCTTCACATTTATCTTTATTATCTTTTGGTATCCTTTTTTTTTTTCTTTCTAAATTATTTCTGATTTACGTTAGTAGTTTTCTCACTTTGTGTTTGTATGCCTGGTTTATCAACCAACTTGATGCAAATATTATGGCATTGCCTTGGCCTCTCATTTAGTGGCGTAGCGAGGTCGGGTGTCACCCGCTGCGGCATTTAATGGTGTCACCCCCCCCCCCCCACCTCAAGGCGTAGCGACACTTCCCGTGGACAAACTTTCAATTTTCGATTTGCACCCCCCTTCAAATTTTTCTCTATATATTTTGCTATTTTTTGCCTTGGTGTCACCCCCCTAAATGGTGTCACCCGGTACGGTCCGCACCCCAGCCGCCCCCTCCCCCCTCGCTACGCCTCTGCTCTCATTGTATTTCTTGCTTAGATACCCCCTGTCATCTCGATCTCTGTTCACCTTATTGTTGTTCTTATCAGAACAAGATTCATTCCTTCTTAAATTCTTGTTATTGCTGTTTAACCATTATATGTAGTTCTTTGTACATTATTGTTCCTTTTTTGATCTGCGAATCTATACCAGCATTGGTTTTGGTAGTGACTTTTTTTTCCACAGTAAAAATATCTGTTATATTTGGGTCTCTTATATTTATGGTCACTGTATACACAACTTGACACATTACTTCTTTTTTTTTTTGCAGGATGCGATTTGGCACCCTGGTCTTTCCCGTGAGCGCTATGGTGAATACGTTCGGTCTAAAAAGTGTGATAGACAATGGATAGGATGGAGCGTTACAAACGCTTACTAAATTGAATCAGGCGTGTCCTCTGGCGCCCTGGTAGGGTGCGATTAGGCTGCAAATAAAAATGTCTGTTTCGGCCCCCAAAGGCTCACATGGGCCTCTGAGGGCCATGTAATACGTTTTATTTTAATAATTAGAAAAATTAACCAAGGTTAGATTATTAACTGGGATGTTTATTTTTGTCTATAAAAAATCCAAACAGTTTTGTCACTTTTCGAATGATGCAATTAGCATCTAGTTTTAGATAATCCAAACAGAAATTGAGATCGAGCATCTAAGAATAGACCACTAGTAACGCTAACATATTGCATCAGTCACACTGATGTTTTAAACGCGTCAAATAATTTTTTTACGTGTTAAATAACAAATCCTGTTCATTTGTTTCACTTTAGTGAATGTCGCAATCTGCATCATTGTAAACAGGATGCTATTTTAAGGAGCCAGGGGTCGCACGCCGCGCCTATCCGGTAGTGTAATGGGTGGGGGGGGGGGGGGCTCCTGAGAGCGGGCCTCTACGTCTCTAACACATGGGCGGTCACCGAAGTGTGTTCTACCATATTATTTCGGTGTACACTCAAGGTTTTCATGCGGTAGTGTAGGTAAACCCGTGTCCTGATCTTGATTATCCAAGCGCAGGCATTGTTTACATTTAAATAACTGATTTTTAGAAAAGAAGGTGACGCGTCTAAGAACATATGATTGGTATGGAGTTGGTGAAATCCTTCTAATATATTTCGTCAAACTTTCTTCTATCCCCGCGGCAACGCACATGTGGCGGGTACGCTAGTATCTAATCAGAAGTGCCTAGAATAGCTGTCGGAACCGTGCTCGGCAGAAATCAGTTTTTTAAACGATCCAAACATGTTGCCTGAAACTTTGCGGGACACTGGGCAGGTAAAGTAGAGTTTAGCAGGTGTAGAGTTCAACAGTGACGTCAGCATATGAAGGGATAGTGTGGTCAGACCCATTCACAGCCGAAATAGACAAAAACGTCTGATGTGTGACGTCTTTTTGAATGTGAGGTCTGGTTTTTTGTGAAAATAAGTGACAGACGTGATGTCAATTATGGATGACCCACAAGTCCCACAGTTATCCAAGGATAACGGGTAGCAGTTATCCAAGGATAACGGGTAGTGTAGTATATATATATATATATATATATATATATATATATATATATATATATATATATATATATATATATATATATATATATATATATATATATTTATATATATATATATATATATATATATATATATATATATATATATATATATATATATATATATTTATATATATATATATATATATATATATATATATATATATATATATATATATATATATATATATATATATATATATATATATATATATTTGACCCACTGCCCTCTGACGTAAACAGTGCGTGCATTGCTGTACTGAATGGATTTACTGTAATTAGATACTTCTGTTTCGTATATTCAACTCCCAAAACCTGGGTAAAACACCGTAAAAGAGTCCCTGCTATACATCACGGTAACCAAAGAAGCCTAGCTGCTGGAAAGCAGAGAGCACGACTACTGACTCATAAGTCTAGCTGACTACTGACTCATAGGTCAAGCTGACTACTAACTCATAAGTCTAGCTGACTACTAACTCATAAGTCAAGCTGACTACAAACTCTCTGACTACTGACTCATACGTCTAGCTGACTACTAACTCATAAGTCTAGCTGACTACTAACTCATAAGTCTAGCTGACTACTAACTCATAGGTCAAGCTGACTACTAACTCATAAGTCAAGCTGACTACAAACTCATAAGTCTAGCTGACTACTGACTCATAAGTCTAACTGACTACTAACTCATAAGTCTAGCTGACTACTAACTCATAAGTCTAGCTGACTACTAACTCATAAGTCTAGCTGACTACTAACTCATAGGTCAAGCTGACTACTGACTCATAAGTCTAGCTGACTACTGACTCATAAGTCCAGCTGACTACTGACTCATAGGTCAAGCTGACTACTAACTCATAAGTCAAGCTGACTACAAACTCATAAGTCTAGCTGACTACTGACTCATAAGTCTAGCTGACTACTGACTCATAGGTCAAGCTGACTACTAACTCATAAGTCAAGCTAGGATCCCGATCCAAAGTCCACATGACGAGCTTGATGTGTAGCTGGCCCAAGTGGGGAAAATTAATTGCGGCTGGTCATTGCACTTAAAAGTGTGTAATCAGCCCACGGGAGTGAACATTTTATAGGGAAGCTTTTTATACTTATTGTAAAGTAATAGAAAGCGTAGCAAGAATTAATACTAAATTTAAAAACCAGGAATGAGGAAACGGCTTATAGTGCGAAGTTTAACATGTTGAACAGTGATATATTCAAATTAGAGTGAGCTTTAAAATATATTAAACAAACTTGTTCTAATACCAAGTTATATTAAATATGTCTGAAAAAGTAAAAAAAATGAACATCTTTGTTTATTTCTCAATTTGCATTATATTAATTATAGTGGGTAAGTTCATCCATTTTATTTTTGAAAATGTATGTAAAATATAAATGTATTGTTTTTAAACTAATAATACAATTTGATTAGACCGTTATTTTTACTTTCACGTATACGAAGTATAGAGAAATTATTGTAATATTGCAAAAAAAATCCAGATTTTTGGAAATCTCTACGTTTTACACCTCCCTGAGTCGGAAAAACAAAGTTTTGCAATCTTGTTCATATGTCTGTGTTTGTGTATGTGTGTGTGTGTGTGTGTGTGTGTGTGTGTGTGTGTGAGTTTGTGTGACTGAACACGATAACTTGAGTAATATTTCAGATAGATAAATGAAATTTCACATATAAGTAAAAGATATTTTCTGCCTTCTGTCAAATTTTGTTTAAAAATCCTTTGAGCAGAAGTAGTAATTTAAGTAATTTTCCGATTTCTCAAAAAACGAATGTGAATCTTTAAAGTTTAAGTAATTAAAAATGGATTAAAAATCATTACTATATCCCGAGGTGCAGACTCCTCTTAGTTACCTCCCCTCAGTTTAAAATCGTTTCAAACTAAATTATCTGCCCCTAATAGCCGCCACTAAACCCGGCACTACGATTGTAGGGGACGGCGTGGTCGAGTCGGTAAAGCTCATGGTTGCTCAACCGAAGAGTCTCGAGTTCGATCCCTCGAGCAGATGAGGCTCGTTAGCTGCGGACAGCCACTCTTCTAGGAGAGACAACTCCAAAATCAAATAACTGCTGCCTTGTAGTTTGTTCTTGGTTAGACAAAGGCTATGGAAGCAAATCCAAAAAGAAAAGCAGGATGAAATCGGAGTCAATGGCCTCAATGGCGCATAACCAGTTGACACGTATCCACTAATTGTGATGGAGGCGTGGTCAAGTCGGCTAAATCTCATGGTTGATCAATTCGAAAAAGTCTTGAGATCCCTTCCAACACTAACTATTAAAAACGAAGAAGAAGCGTGAACCACAGCTCACCACACCATGTAAGGGTGGGGGTGGTAGGGATGTACTTAGAGAGGAAGAGAGGGGGCTGCTAGGCGCGCTTACAGCTTGGTGTTTTCTAGGGTATCCAAGATGAGAAATATATATATATAGATTCGTGAAAGTTTAGAAAAGATCACTCCTGGTTTATTTTCTTTGTTCTTAATTGGTAAGTAAAGGGCCATTTACAACAATTAAGAGAGTATGACTTCTCAGAATACTCGTGAATACTCAGAATATTCGTGACCTTTGTACGCTTTTCCACAACGCCATCGCATGATTAACTGTTTGCATTCCTATTACAACAAGACGGCCTATACTAATAATATTAATGTAAACTTACACGCATCTACGTTTTCCTTAACAAATCCATACGCAAAAACACGACTACATATTTATACATGAATACTGTTAAGATAAATAATTAATGTCTACTTATATATATATATATATATATATATATATATATATATATATATATATATATATATATATTATATATATATATATATATATATATATATATATATATATATATATATATATATATATATATATATATATATATATATATATATATATATATATATATATTTCATTGATTACTTTTCATTTATGTCCGTAGCAAAAACAAAAGCTAAAGTGATAATTTTAAAACAACAACCATGCTCCATTGTCGATAACAATGCTATTGTTACCATATTATTCAGTACAAATTTAGAAAAAACAACAGCACTGCACTTTTCAAAATTTGATAATGCTACTGATAGAATTGCTAAAATGTCCGAGGTATGTAAATGTAATTGATCCTTTTTCTATGATCTTCATTTTATGTGCAATCACCTTATTAGAATATTAATTTTATTTTTAAGACTACGTAAGACAGGTATATATGTACATATAACAAAATCGACAAGTAAATCATATACATGTACATGTACATGCGTATGTTCATACACGTACACGTACACGTACGCGTACACGTACACGTACACGTACACGTACACGTACACATGCGTGTTTATCTATCGTTTTAAATAGGTTTGTCAAATACGAATCCACGAAGGAAAATGCCGTTTCCAGTACAATATAAATTGTAACTGTACACAAAACCCAAAACACGGTCTTCAAATTACTTTGCAAGTAGACTCGATAACAAATTCTTCATATTTGATGACAGCAATTGAAGCCGAAGAAACATATTTGTATGAAGAAGAAACCAAGTTATGTGGTAAGTAATATTTACAATCTACACTTTTAAAATAATATTATAATAAATAAAATAAAAAATTGGTAATGGTTAGTACATATTATTCTTATGATGCACTCAAAATGCAAGTCTAAATATATCAAACAACAATAATCAGAATTTGCTCAATTGTTGTATATAAATTCGGTAAAAAAAACAAAATAACCAAATACATATATATATATATATATATATATATATATATATATATATATATATATATATATATATATATATACATATATATATATATATATATATATATATATATATATATATATATATATATATATATATATATATATATATATATTTATATACATCGACATTTGCATTTTATTATTTTAGATGATCAAGTTGTATTCAGTTTGCGTAAGTAAAGTTTCCTCTAACATTCTGATGAACAGAAATTTCAATGTACTAATTATGAGCAAACACGATAAAACTAAGTAATGTATTAACAAATGGCAGCACGTATCTTAAAATACAAAAAAGACATCATTGTATAATACGTTAGTGTAAGTAAGTGCGTTCTCATTAACAGAGTCTGATATATCCAAGAGAATTGAGTACGCTATAATAGTTGCTGGAGTGATGTTTACAGTAATCGGCTTTGCAACGTGTTATGCTTTATTCAGAGGTAAATATATTGATTATTAACTTAGCCAATTACCCAAGTAATTTATCATCTTCAATACTTAAATTCATAGATTCTAAGCAATATTAAATTAATTTCTATCGAAATACAAAAACGTTTTTTTTTTAACGTTTAAATCGAATATATGTAATGCATTTAATTATCATTACTGATCAAAGTACTATTATTCCACTTTGTACACTTGGCTAATGTTCTCTTAGAATTTAGCTGAAACCTGGGAATTTTTTTCTTTTGGCAGGTTTTAACCCTTTATTTACGGAATTAATTTCTGAATGAATTTTTTTCTTAAACTATGGGTTATCATATTGCTTTTGGTACATTTAACACATATGTCGAAGGAAATTTCGTTTCATAAATTTGTAATGGCCCAAACATTTATTGGTACTTATAAGTACCATCAGGACTGTAGGACATGTTTTCCAAAAATTAAAAAAAAATTAAAAACAGGAGCAAACGATACAATGTAGTAACTAACAACATGGCAATAATTATAAAAATCATTTTTGTAATTTTCACACATAAATTCAGAACACAAGTGTATTTTGAGTACGATTTTTACTGGATTTTCTATCGGAACACATCTTAGACCTAAAACACAGCAAAAGTTGCCGACATGTCATGCTCACTCATTCTTATCTGTGGTTATTTTGGTGTAGCAACGGTTGCCGGACTGAACATGCTTTTGCTGGAAGCTTCCAATAGCTATTACAATGAGCCGAATAAACAAACAAAAGCCTAGTCATTCAGCACATAACTAATGCCTACAAGTAATACTAGTATAATTGTAGCCTACTAGAATGTTATGTCAAGTCTACAATCTACACTACAGTGTAAAGTTCATAAATAGAAGTGAGCTCAATGTGTTTAGGATAGCCGTAGTGGCCTAATGTTTTCTGTTTCCTGATTAAAATTTACCATAGAGATCTACACTATATGCAGAAGTATGGTTTTTTACTAGTCTACAGATATACATTACGTAAATACTAGTCATTTGTAGGCAAGACAGTTTATTGCAGTAAATATATCTTACAAATTAAATACTACTAGAACTAGGCTTTGGTATACAAGTGAAGTATACGGAACCTAGTAAACGAGCCTGCAAATGCTACCTTTATTATTGTTATTCTTTTACTACTAGAAAACAACAAGTAATTACAATATTTCTTATGTAAACCATATGCTAACCTTCATATAAATGTGTAAATATAATTTTTTGAGTACATTTCGATAATTAATTATCAAAATAATATTTATGCCACTCCACATCGAAAATCTGCCGTTTCCTAGTAATCCTAAAAAATGACCGTGTGCCCTGACGCTACTTATAAGTCCACTTGTAAACATCGATCTATTACAAAGATAATTTGATTAAAATTGTATAACTAGAAGTTAAACGCTTTTGCCTGACTATTGAAGATGTCAATACGAAATATTTGGTGTTAAAAAACTTGAAAAATAAGGTAAAACAAAGGGAAATCAGGAACGTGTGTGAGAACTGTACAGAACAACTGTGAACTACCGATACAGCAAGACATTGAAAATGACGCCACACCAGAAATTTAAAAAAAATCATCGATCCCTCCAACTACCAGTGATTCGGGGGAGATAATACTATTAATTACCTAAATAATTTTTAAAATTCGTTTTTAAATTTAAAATAATACAGGCACTTAATTAAAGTGGTACTATATAGTACTATTTACTACCGCATGAAAACCTTGAGTGTACATTAATCACTCACCGAAATAATGAGATAGAACACACTTCGGTGACCAACAATGTGTCAGGGACGTAGAGGGGCGCTCTCAGCCCCCCCCCCCCACCCCCGGACTACACTACAGCATAGGCGCAGCGTACGGCCTCTGGCTCCTTAAAACTAACAGGCGCCATCGTGCTCATAGGATAACCCAGCGTGCCTATAGCATCCTGTAAACGGTTTCCAGAAAGAACCTCAACGGAAAAAAGCGTAACGGAAAAAAGAGCAAAACAAAAACCGCAACAGAGAAAAGCGCAAACGGAAAAAAAGCGCAAAGAGAAAAAAAGCACACACAGAAAAAAGCACAAAGAGAAAAAAGCGTAAACAGAAAAAAGCGCAAACAGAAAAAAGTGCACACAGAAAAAAGCGCAAACGGAAAAAAGCGCAAATGGAAAAAAGCGCAAACAGAAAAAAGCGCACACGGAAAAAAGCGCAAACAGAAAAATGCGCAAAGAGAAAAAAGCGCAAACAGAAAAAAGCGCACACAGAAAAAAGTGCAAACGGTAAAAGCGCAAACAGAAAAAAGCGCAAACAGAAAAATGCGCAACCAGAAAAAACACAACGAAAAATGTGCAAAAGAGAAATTTAGCACAAAGACCTATATCGAATAGATGACACAGTTATACATGACTGTTAGGGCTGCTGTGAGAGTGTCGTGCTGGATTACGTGATCTACTACCATTTAAAGCGTACCACTACCACGTGCATTCCCATCACCATGATATAGGCGATAATTACTTTACACAATGCCTATTATTTTCTTGGTCAATAATTATTCAACTACTATTCTCGTATAAAAAACATAAAACTATCGACATTACACGAAGTATCTTTCACATTCTCCCTAGTCCGAACTACCTGGCTTGCATACCATAACAACCCGTTCCTATGGCAAAACTTATCTCTCTTTCATCCGCGTCATTAAACATGCATTCGTCATCCGATAGGCATGAAACTTTGGGGAGTTCATTATAAAACTCTAGGGAAATAATTTTTAATTTCGCAAGGGCGGTGCCACGGGAGGGTGCGATTTTTCTCTATGTACGGTATGTAATAATAAAACGGTTTCACACCGTTAATCCAATAGGCATGAAACTTTGGTGAGTTTATTAGAACACTCTAGGGAAGGGTTCTGCAAAAAATCATTTTTAATTTCGCAAGGGCGGCGCCACGGGAGGCTGCGATTTTTCTCTATATACGGATTATAAAAATAAAAGTCTATTTCGGTTTCACACTGTTCATCTGTGTACCATGAAACTTTGGGGAGATGATTAGATCACTCAATGGTAGGGTTCTGCAAAAAATATTGTTTAATATTGCAAGGGCGGCGCCCCCCGGGGGGAGCGATTTTTTTTCTCTAAACACGGTATATAAAAAAATAAAACTCGGCTGCGGTTCATCCGAGTGCCATGAAACTTTAGGAAGTAGATGAGAATACTCCCGAGAATATTTCTGCGAAAAAGAAAACTAAAGTTTCTTATGGGCGGCGCCATATAGGATACAACTTTCGTCAATACACGGTTTGGCGCCCAGATTTTTAGAGCGACTATGTTGGCACTTGGCATCCGTTAATCGAGCGTCCTGCATAGCGAGTAAGGGGTACTACTATATTCAGCGGTAAAACTACAACAGGCTTCTAAAAATAACTTTGTAACGCGAGGAAATCCTTCTGCACAGTTTCGTCACCTTGCGAAAGATGAAAAAATAACTTTTTGAATATGAGGAGCCTACTGTAGAGTTTCGTCACTTTGCGAATAATGCAATAAGCATCTATTATTAGACGATCCAGTCAGAAATTGAGATAATAATAGACCATTAGTAACGCTAGCATATTGCATAAGTCACACTGATGTTTAAAACACGTCAAATAATTTTTTTAAGTGTTAAAGAAAAAAATCCGGTTCATTTGTGTCACTTTAGCGAATGACGAAATCTGCATCATTGTTTACAGGATGCTATTGGCACACTGGGTTATCCTATGAACACGATGGCGCCTGTTAGTTTTAAGAAGCCAGGGGCCGTACGCTGCGCCTATGCGGTAGTGTAATCGGGGGGGGGGGGGGGGTGGGGGGGGGGGGCTCCTGAGAACGTCCCTCTACGTCCTTGACACAAGGGCGGTCACCGAAGTGTGTTCTATCTCATTATTTCGGTGAGTGATTAATGTACACTCAAGGTTTTCATGCGGTAGTGTAGGAAAACCCGTGTCCCGATAATTATTATTATTAGTATTCAAGCGCAGGCATTGTTTACATTTAAATAACACAGATTTAGAAAAAAAGGACACGCGTCTAAGAACATATGATTGGTAATGCATTGGTGATATCCTTCTAATATATTTCGTCAGACTTTCTTTATCCCCGCGGCAACGTGCGGGGGTTGGGTACGCTAGTATATATATATATATATATATATATATATATATATATATATATATATATATATATATATATATATATATATATATATATATATATAGAATAGATAGATAGATCTATAACAATCTATTAAGAAAAAAAGAATTGCTCACCAAGTAAACGTCAAACAATCTGTTTATAATAGTGCGGAATATTAATAGTAGGCCTACTTTGTAAATTCTCATGCGTTTTTTAAGAAATCAGAAATATCGAAAATTACTACTTCCGGTCAACGAAAATTACACAAAATTTAAAAGAAGGCGGAACATTTGATTTTTTACTTACATGTAAAATTGTATTTATCTATCTGAAATAGTACTAAAGTTATTGGCTTTTGAAAAATTGAAAGTAGAAAAAGTTCCACTCTAGGTTATCGGAAATCGCACAAACGTTGATACGTATCTACGATTTTGATATAATACTTATACATGAAATTTTATCAACCTATCGTGTTATCGTGTTTACAGACACACACACAGACAGACACACACATACACGCACACACACAGACATACAGACAAGATTGCAAAACTATGATTTTCCAACTCAGGGAGGTGTAAAAGGTCGAGATTTGAAAAAACCTCGACTTTTTTTTGCACGACTACAAGACTTTCTCTATAGGGCCTACTTTGTATATACGAGAAAGTAAAAAAAAATTATGCACTTTTCAAACAAAACTATTTTTTAAGAGATGTTAACATTTTCTTCGTGTCGTCAGGAAATCCTTGCGACTCAGTGTACATTGAACCAACAAGTAGTAAACGAAGCACATTTAGCCAGTGTAGTAACGAACTTTTGTGGAAAAGGTTTTGAATGGCTCTGAATTTTATAA